TATGCCAAGTGGGGATGGGGATGTTGCTCACAATTCTTAAACGATTTTGCAACAAAGATGGTTGTATGGTCGACAAGAGGCGCGTGAGCCGGAACAGAAACTGGAACTCAAGAAGTGACATCTACACACAGGTGTTCCATTGGTGCGCAGCTCAAAATTTATCGCTCAGTGATGGATTCACATGGCCCTTGGGGTAAACGCAGGAGTCGCCCAAGCCCATTGGGGATGACCCAACTGAAGAAGAGATCCCCAAATATGAGATCATCTTTTCAGGAAGGGCAGATTTATCCAGAGCCTGGGGCGATGCTGGCAGGACCATAGCAATGCCTAGTACCATTCCAGAGGTAAACCAAAAATGCGATACGACTGCTAAGATCGCCCTGTTTCGTTGCCATACATTTGCTCAGAAACTCGCCAAGAAGTACTGAATTGGCAGGGCATTCCGCCATGCTGTGAGCCCGCAACACCAACATTGCAAGGAACGCCATGGGAAAAATCAAAGGCTTTTTATGGCGACACACCTAACGTACAGAATGTACGAAATTACACCAATATCAGTGCCTAAACTACTACTGTGACTGCAGAAAATTGTTGTCCGGATCTGGGTTCCCAAGATGGCTTCCATGCAAGCGGCCCAACTCGACGTCACTCCAGCAAGCTTGAAATTTTTGGCCCCAGGCATTTATAAATTAGATGCCAAGATCCCTCACATTGCGGATGCTTCGAAAGGGCGTGCCAAATTTGACAAGAACAAAAGGCTTCTAACCGTGACTCTGCCTACAAACGTGGAAGAATGCGCACGGCAATCACAATGGCACAATGAATTGCACAACGGACCTTCAGCCAGTCATACCCCGGCTGTGTGCCGTGAAGAGGCATCGAGGGCAGGATTCCCCGTTGGAAACGACAATGACGGTGGGCAGAGAATGCCATGCCGTGCGGTGTCCAGTGTCGTAAAGGAGATGAATGGGCCTCATCTGGCGTCCCCCAAATCATCGTGTGTGGAAAGGGTCACAAGCGGTGCAGATATTGTTCAACATGATGGGGGATCTGCCGTGGAAAAGGTGCCTGGAAGCACTGGCGCTGAAAGCATTTCAAAGCAAGCCCCGCCCGTGTGCCAAGCTGCTCGTGAGATTATCCCTACGAGGCTGGATAGCGGCCTGGGCAATGGTGACGAAGAAGCCGTAAGCACGTGTTTGGAGCACGTGCCCCCATCTGGCGTACATAGCAAAGCGGGTAGCAGTGCTGCCACCGGAGCATATAATGGTGTCAGCCCAATGACTACCAGCACTTCCAAGATCTGTATACAGCCCACCGCCAACGAGCAACGGTGGAAGGATATCCATGTGGAGAGGGATAGGATCGACTGGAAGCATCGGCCCGACACTGCCCTGATCGAAGAAGACGTACTCCGGCAGAATGCAATTGAGCATGCTGGAGGCAGCGACAAGAGCATGTCTGAAAAATGCCAGGAGCGGTTACCAAGCGAGGACTGCCCAAATGGAGAAGGGAAAAGCGAGAAAAGTGAGTCTCGATTGGGGATGATAGTCAGTCGGGAGCAACCGGAAGCCGGCCGCCAGCTGTGTGGTGCAGAAGAAAAGGAGTGCAGCGGGAGACATGAGATCAGCCGAGGGACTTCTTCAGCTTTTCAAGGCAGCACAGGTCAGAATGAGTGCCATGCACAAGCATGACACACGATTATGTTGCCCTTGCAACAAATCAATCTCACTCAGTATACCAATGCCACCGATATACTTCATGGCTAATGTACTACCACTCACTAATCTCAGTTTGGGTGTCTTCCAAGCGACTCGCATAGCTAATTGTCTGGCACTAGACGAAAGGCAACGCCCAATGATGCGCATTTGAAGTAACACTGCATGCTAGCAACCAACAGGCCCCCAATATCTCTTAGAATTACCGCATCGAAACAGCCCTGGTCATCCTTCTTAAGTAATGGCATCCCACGTGCAGGGGACGATTCTTTCAAAGGAAGCAAGAACTCGTTGTGCTTTTCAGGAATAAAAGGGCAAGACGTGGCAGCGGACATAACGCAAAATGGCGATACTTCTGACTGGAAACTCGAGAGTCCCAGCATAAACACTCAAATGGCTGAAGAAATAGATTGAAACAGCAATCCGCAGCTTCATGTTTACATATGTTGTTGAGGCCAGAACGTCGTGGATCGTTGCGGGGCGTATACAGTTTTAGATAGTCTCTGCTGTAGTGGTACACACAATTTCGCATAGTTTTCAGTTTGAGAGTTAGGGGTCAGGGGAAGAGGGCAAGCCAAAGCAACCGCATGTCGTGGCTCAACAGGCATCTTGAAATGATACAAGCCTGTAGTTTAGAAGGTGGCAAATGTGCAATGACATTTGCAATGACCACTGGCGTGCATAGAACACGGATTCGAACTGCAATCCAAATCGCCTCCCCGAGGGGGTAGCTTCTAGCTTTGGCAGAGAGCCGCCTGGGCGGATAAAAATGTACGAATCGCCTCTGATGAACTACAAAATTTGATGGAGGTCGATGCTTTGTTAGACAACGTATTGATATCTGCAGGCAGAACCTGCTCCGCAGCGTTTCATCTGCCTCCAACGAGCTCCTCCCCTATAGGGATCTATTGTGTAACAAGCAAGAAAATGAGTGAGCAATATCGATGCCATATGTGTTGTGCCCCCGTTTGAGCTGCCATGTGCATCAGAGACACAATGGCGGCAACCTTTTTGACCATTAATCCTTCAAATCTGATGATGCTCGCCATAAGCCTTCTCAACGTGGGAAGAGCACCACCTCAAAGCCACCGAAGAGAGCCTGTGTTGAGTCAATTATACTTGAGGTATCTCTACCAACGGTGTGCGAAGTATGGGGACTACGGCTGGGCCCCAATTCCCCTCCTTGATGGGGAGGATCACAAACTAGCTGCGGAGACCCTGAACAGGCAAAAAAGGGCCGACCACCAAATTGACGTTTGAAACTTTGCTGTGCGCACCCCATCCTCATTCTCGCGTTTTTGCAGATGGTCCACCTTCTGGAGGGAACGGAAAGGTGCAACATCGGACACTGCATTGATTCGCACACAGAGCAAGATGCGCTTGCTCCATCGACTGGTGATTGGCGGGCTTATATCGCTGGATGCTGAGCTCGCTGTGTGGACAAACATCAACGCCTGATCCTTGTCCTTTGTTGTGCGTAGTGCATGTTCCGATTGTATTATCGAGCTTGGGGTGCCCTAGATTCGTTTTGTGCACGATCAAAAGCGACTCATCTACTTGAAGCGGACATCCTCGAAAGGTTGTATCTAGGCCCCAGGGTCCCATCACCATGTGCTGCTGCTCCCCGCCACTGTCTCACAAACTTTATGAGCACTTGAGAAATGCGAACAACGCCACATACCTCCCTGGAGTTTTGGTTCATGTGCAATCAACTTTTCTACAAAAGCTTCAAACAAAAATATGTTCCATGTGAATGTACTGCTTGTTGGTGACTCACCTAGTCAATTCACCAGATCAGGTGCATGTCGAGATCACAAGGCCCGGGGTCATCCAGCCTGGGGTTGTTGAGACGACAGAAATGCTCATCCCACCTGCTCTTGCGAAGCCGACTCTGCTCAGGTTTGCCCGGCTCAGGCAGACGTCAGTTCAATCGAGTGCGCAAAAAGAGGCGGGATTACCCATCTCAGGGGTGCACAATACCAAACGTTCTCTCCCAAGGATGACATCGAATTCTTCCTTTGTGATCCTGTCATTCTTGGCAAACCTGGGCACACAAACATGGTAGCTGAGGAACAACGACAATGTCTACATTGCTATAGGGTGATTGAGCCAGGGGTGGCATTTGTGATGTAACATTAGTGCAATGGATCGCTTAAATTGCTAGGAACATTGGTTCCAAATATCGATTGCATTGAGCGGACAGGCACAAGAGTTCGCCCAACCTCTTTCTCCTCTGCGTAGACTTGGCCATTTTTTCAGCCCTATTGCTCAAAAGGGACTCAACCTTGCCAGCAGCAATAAGCAACAAGCAAACAACGGACGATGCCATTTAAGACTCCAATGGGATGCTTTATTGCATAGAGATCTTCACAGCAATGGAGTGGCCATTGTCATACGGACATTGCTAATGTCAGCTTCCGTGCAGCGCTACAGTGATCTGTTTATTCCCACGAGTTGGTAGCGGATTGATTTCGGCTCCAAAGATAAAGTACTCAATAATGGACACCAACTGGCATCACAACATTGTGGCATCAAAAACAAGCATTACATCAGCAATTGCCGGATGCGCTGTTGGAACTCACCAACCTGCTTAGCTTCTTACTACTTACTACTCATTTAGTTTCTTGCTGTCCTGATGATACACCCGAGCCGGCTCCCCAGCCGCAATCAGCACCCTCGCTCCCCCACCCTCCTCTGCCATGGTATGATGCCGTTCCAGTGCCTGCCATCGCTGCCAGTCCAGAAGGCCGGGTGAAGACGGGCATGCCATTCTCCGAGTGGCCTGTGGCCACGAGTCGACAGCTCCGCGCGATTTCATGCACTTGGATCTGTCCACATATGGGACAGGCATCGTCGTCAGATACTGTGGCTCGAGGTCTAGTTCTTGCACGCGCCATGTATCGCAGTGTTGCAACGTGCATGGCAAATTCGTGTCCATTAACAAGGATATCGTGACATGCAATGGATACAGGCAACGACGTGCACCCTCCCGACCGGCTCTGCAGATTCAGTCCACTAGTACTTTCGGAGCATTGCTGACCTCATGACTGAACGAACACCTGCAACGAAATGGATGCAGCATGCCGTGATTCACCGAGGACCAGTAGGTGCCGGAGTTTAGGTCTCGTCTATTCATCTAGGAATCGTACCACCTGTAGGCGCGCAGGCCCCCTTCTTCCCGCCAAATCCCCCACGCAAAATAGAAGGGATCCTCACGGAAGACGGAGGGACTACTAGGTCGAAATAAATGTACTCCCAACAGGCACACACCCAACCGCTGCACCGATGGAGGCGCCGGCCTCCAGAGTCACTCAATGCCTGCTGGCAGCCCCCACCGGCGTTCGACAGCTGTCTCAGCGGCCCAGGGCAGCGCCCGCCGCAGGGTCTAGGCGACTGGGAGGGGCCGTCCTTTGCGTTGTGGCGCCCGACAAGCACTCCCAGCCGCAGCCCCGAAAGAAATTGGATTGGTCGAATTCTGGGACGAAGGAGGCGATTGGAGAAGGGGCCGTGCTTGAGGGGAGCAAGGCGTCGCGAGCGAGGAGCAAACTGACTCGGGAGGAGGCAAAGCAGGAAGTGCGGGCGGAACGGGACGCCCAGTGGGCAAGTGATGTGGACGGGTGCGGCAAAATGGGCCCTGTGCAGGAGGGGTCGGGGCTGTGCATGTTGAAGGGGAGACTATGCCTGTGGGCCAACACCCTGTCTACTCTTTGGGAGCCTGCATTTGTTGCAGGGCAATCAACTGATTCGCCCATTTGGCCCCTCAGGGCGATGCCCTCTTCACACCCAGCGTACAAACACTTTTTGGAAGACTTTATTGGAGGCACAGTGCGCCCTGTTTGTTGGCAGACACCCAGACAGACCGCTTTCTGATGATCATTCACTTGACGTGGCAAAGGATCAATTGCTTTACAGAATGTGCTAAACACTATCCTAGCACAGGGTATGGAACGCTAACCTTCTATGGTGTCATTCTAGCCTTCTGTTAGCGGAACGCTAGCCTTCTATGGTGTCATTCACTGTGAGTGGCACTTGGATCATTTGATTGTTTCTTGTGAACGGCACTGTCAACAGTACTGTCAGTTCGAAATATGCAGTGGACGGTCATGATGCTTCTTCCAGAAGATTATGTTGTTGTGTGGGACTCTCAATTGGAAGCAGCAATATAAAGGGGTCTTCTTTTCTTGTTATATTGTGTATCAGTGGTGAGTTTGAACAGCAGTAGGTTTGCGAGACCTAAAGGATTTGTATGTACAATACAAGCCCACCACCAGCCACGAAAAGCTGCAGCACATTTGGCGAGTACAGACCAACTACTCAGTGCTTCCTTCCTGATTTGGTTTCGCCCACATGAAACAGCAAGGCACCAAGTGTGTTTGTGTTTAGTGTTGCAACAAGTTACCATAGCAAATTGCATTCCGCATATTGGGCTGCAGAGGTGCAAAAGGAATGTCACAATGGAGTGCTTGCAATGGCAGTCTAAATCACTCTGCAACTGGTTTGCACCTTCGAGGATGCTCAGCAGTTGCAGTGCTGCAGTGGTGTTGCTAATTCTTTACAACATGTGCAGTTTGAAGTTGCTGTCTGTTGCATGCATGGCTGTATCAGATGGGACTTTCTGTGGTTCAGGGTGAAAATGCGAAACAGTGGAGCTCTGTCAGCTGGGGTTCAATGGTACAGTATTTGGGTAGGTGGCACCAAGAAGCCTTTGCACCATTTGCCTTCACTTGTATAGGAAGCGGATCGAACCCAGCGTTGCCTTTGCCCTTACCACAGCATGTACTTTCTCTGTGAGCAGCTTTTCGTTGCTATGAGGTGCAGTCAGGCAATCTACTTGCACCTGTGTCTCACAATTCATTGCATTGTGTGGCAATGTGAGGGTGCTTGATTGCACCTGCTTTTGCATGTGACTCCTGTGACTTACTGTGTGGCTCCTCTTCCACCTCTCGCAGACAGCAAAGGGTTACGAAGATAGAGTGGCAGATTTGCTGCAGCAGGATATGGCTAAGCTACCACCTTTGAGGTCCAAAGATGGGTCCCTGAAGCCCAGATTCTACACTGTGTGGGCTCCCAAGAAAAAGATTATGGTGGCAACCGCAAGGTGGGTTGTGCGGGAAAGTAAAGGGCCAATGACCACCCCAGCTATCAACAAAGGCACATTAATCTACCCAGGCTGCGTTTGCATTGGAAGGGTATGGTGCTTGTTGTTGCCCAGAGTTCACCGGCATGGACCTGCTCGACCTGATCAGCGAATTGCTGTGTTGCTCCACAGGCCAATCGCAAGTAAGACTTGCTCTGACGTGGAATCTAAATCAGCCTGTGCCAGTTAACTCTGGCACAAGGCTCTGCTAGGCGCTTTATGTCACACAGGCGGTAATCGAGCATACCATATTTTGTAGTACCACTTGAAACAGAAGTTTACCCTTCACCCGGACGGCGCGAAATCCCAACAAAGGACTCATTGTGGAGTCTATGGTGTGCTGTCAGGGGAACTATTGCACGGACTGTCCGATATGGCATGGAGAATACGGGCGAGTGGGTGCTCCTTGAATGCATAATGGACAATGATGTGTTCCAGCTGGTCAACAGCATTCCCTCTGTAAGGGGCTTCCGACACAAGCACCCCCAGGCGGTAAGTGCACTGCTGCAGAGGCATCCCTTCAAAGCTCTGTGAATAGTTCACAGCGTCCAACCCTCAATGAATAGATTCTTTCATCTTTTCCACAATCTCTGGATGTACGAGCCAGGTAAATTTTTCTGGCAAAGGTGATCCAGCGAACTGCAAGCCTCAATAAAAGGCACTGGGCGTGTGCTATTTGGTATGGGGTGTGTGGCATGTGCTTCGTGCTATCTGCTCATGCACGGCTCGTGCTGATTTTGCTCTGATAATGAAGGGCGTGTTTTCTGGTTTTGCGCCTCCCTGCAGTTTCAATGCATCAGTCTTCCACAAGCAGATTTTGAAACCGATTCAAGCACAAAGGACAAATGGCCCCATGGAAAACAACAATTTTCTGGATTGTAGAATTGGGAGCTAGCTTTGGTCGGATGTCTTTGGACGTTGTGTGGACTGTCAAACTTTAGAGATGTTGCCATTGTGTGAAAATGAATGTCACGATGCCTTGGGAATGTCCCCCATGCTCTGTTTGAATGAAGGGGTCTGTGCTTCTGCAGGATTGGGTTCCATTGCCCTGTTCTGATGAGCTGGTGCTAGAAATCCAAGACTGGTTGTGGGACCCCGAAGACAAGGATGAAAGCAGCAAGCAGCCTGAAGGGCGTGACTTGGGGGATGTGGAGGAGAAAAATGATGAGGCACGATGATTGGCATCTGCTCACTTGCGACCTTGCGCGTGTTGCTGCAGGACAACTCGGGATCGCGGGGGACAATGGCCGTTGTGAAAACGTCATTTTTCACACCACAACAGGACTGGAATGATAAACCTTGATTCTACAGTGCATGGGTCATCGAGTCAATGCAACCTCACTTGGCGAGAGCGAACAAGTAGCGTTTCAAGTTGTTGTTTTCAGGTCATAGAAAGCTGTAGATGGACCAGACAACCTGTTTTCACAGTCTTGTCAGATCCAACTCCTCTGCCTCCTCCATAGTTCATTGAGACTCTCCTGTCTTCACTGCAGGATGTAGCGAGTGTTCCCCTTGACGTTATGGAAGATATTGAGAAAGCCTTTGGCCATGGTGGCAAGAACATCGACACTTGGGAAAAGCCTAGAAGCAAGTCGCGACAAAGGCGGGGCAGGAGTGGCCGGGGCAGGAGTGGCAGGGGCAGGGCAGGGAAGGGCGGGGGCATGGGCCGTACAGGAAGGAACAGGTCCCATAATCGCCAGGAGGACAGGTGACTGTGGAGTTACTGCTGATGTTACACCGCATTGAGGGTTGGAAAATGATATTGCAGAATGACTTTGGAATGCCGTTGAGCACATTTCCAGCCTGCTGGTTGTTCATTTGGTGGGGAACATTGGCTTGCGGTCTGTTAGTGGTGTAGATTACCATTTAGAGTGAGATGTGTGAACTTGCTGCTGTACAAAAGGTGGTATGGCAGGGACCCCCAGGCAAGAAAGGGGAAAGAAGGAGGGAGACGCACAGAATGTCACAGTGACGTGAACTGTCAGATATGTGGGCTGTTGTCATTGCTGAGTTGAATTGGCATGCTGCCTGTGTGGACTCCAACAGGGGAAGCCAAGATGAGGTAAGGAGGGAGACAGTTACTTGGTACGAAGGTCCTGGTGAGCCAGCCGACCCCTGGTCCCAGTGGCAAGAGGATTTGCAGGAGCCAACGAGCATCAATGCGAGACAGGAACAAGAGGAGGAGGTCAATAGAGTGAGTGGTAGCCCAGGTGTTCTGCAATCCATGTGCCTCAATGCCACATGGGCTGTAGCTTTCATCAATGCTGTAGTGCATTAGCTCCTTCTGCATTGCAGTGTAACGCTGGGCCTTTTCATATGGAGCAATGATAAAAATGTAACGATGCCAAGAAAGTGCGGAGCAGCTCCAGCCTTGACGCGAGGGTCTCTGGAGTGCTCGTGGCGTCTAATGGCCCCGGATGCACGAGTCGCTGTGGTGGAAAACGGCTTTGAGGCCATGTGAAGTGAGCAAGTTCCCCATTCTGGCGGTGATCAAGACACGGAGTCCCCCAAAGTAGTGGTCTGTTGGAAAAATGCAGAGCAACAAACGTAACAAGAAATTTCAAAATGCGGAAAGGTACAGGACACTACGGTGTACTTGCTACTGTGTTAGAGCTTCAGTGTTTATCAGTGAACCTTTTCTTCTTAGTGTTTGCCTTCTTGCAAGTTGGGATGGTGTTGAATAGTGCTCCTTATGTGACATGAATTGCCTTCAAGTTCCGGAGTGTAGTTTATCCTGGAGAAATTTATTCGTTGCTGCTATGCGCCTTCCCCTGACATTTGCTGTTGTGTATACCTTTCAAAGAGCAAGCATGAGATGCCTGGCTTGGGTGTGAGTCTGCGCATCGTGTAGTGGGTGATCATTTCAAATTCATCCATTCATGCATGCAAGCAAGAATACAATTATGATATATCTTCTCTGATATGCCAGGACGATGGCTGGATGGGCCCCGCTTTGTCTGATCCTGGCAATCCCTCTTCTCAATGGTTTGAAGATGAGGTTTCCAACACAGAAGATGGAGCTGTAGGATGGATGGAAGCAACGCGTCAAGCTGCGGATGATGTTCAGCGAAAGTCTTCCTTGACAGAGGCCAATGCTTTTGAGGCATTGAATTCAGCTCTTACTGGCCTCGAAGAGGATTTGGATGAACAGGGGGCAAGTGAAATACATGCGATTGAAGGCACCAATACTCCTCAGAATCAGAATGAAAGGGAAGATGCTAGTGGTGCTACTCACGTAGCAGAGCACGAGATGGAGCCAGCTCAAGTGTCTGGTGATGACGATTGGGCACTGTATGGGGACTGGAGATCAGAAGCCTCTGCTGCTGAGGAGCAACCCAGTCCTGTGCAGAGCACAGTGGACAGCACGACAATGGACAGTCCAGGAAGAGAAGATGCGAGCGTCGTTTCAAGTGAACAGGTGAGCAAGTGCTGAACTGCAGTGTGTGTTGTGATGGCTCTCGCCTTTTGATGGTATCGGAAATCATACCATGGCTCAGCGTGTGCTGTTGCTGGACGTTGTCAATGCCATAATTTGTACAGAAGCTCATCGTCACTTTCTGGAGCACAAGTGCAGTGGCTTGCCAGGAGGTGGCAAATGTAATCGAAGTGGTTGTACTGCACAGACGTGTATGTCTTGTGTAACAAATTGCCACTGACAATTGTATCTTGGTGTTGGTGGGAGCTCTTGACCATTGATATCATGTTTGGCCAAAATATCAACACAGCATGTACACCATGTAGGTGGAGGCTCATCGTTGTGGCGGATTTAGGGGTGCAATGCAGTGTCCACTGGGAAAGTGCACCTGTGAGTTCCTGTGCACAGTGATCGGTACCGCTCAAGTGATGCTTTGCACAATTATTAGAGTGAGTTGGCACCTTAAGACAGAGATAATTTCCCCATTACAGTCAAGAACATGACGCACACTTTGTTCCACCACCAAGAGCATTGGTTGATGTCAGCAGATATGGTGTCCACGTGTGCGGCGATGAAACTTTACAGTCTATATAGCTTCTTTCTGCTCGTCCCATTGTCTGTGTCGTTGCAGCAGGACATGTGGAAGGGTTATTCACAGTGTAGTGAGGAATGAAATTGGCTACTGACACAGGTGATGATTAGTATTTTGCCTGCATCATTATTTTGGCCAGGTGCAGTATCTGAAATCACACTCTCTTGCCGCCATGGTTGAGAATGCCTTGAGCAAGAGGCAGTGTCAGACTGGTTTGCAGTGGCGATCCAGCATTTCAAGGCTGCCCGATCAGTAACAAGACCTCAAACATTCCAAGGCATTGATCTTTACATGAAGATTTACTTTTGGTTCTGCAATGGTGTGCAGGCGGCAGCACGTGATGATGGTGGTGTAGGCACGAACAAGAAGAAAAGAGGACGTCCCCGGAAGTCTTTGGTAAAGCCTTCGACAGCATCTTCAGGAACGTCCTTCAGTGAGGGAGATAGTGTGTTGGTGGTCAGTGGCACATTTGAAGAGTTCAAAGGCACTGTGATCAAAGTAGGGAGGAAGACGGTGGACGTCAATCTGGATATTTTTGGCCGGACTACGACAGTGGCAATTGATAAACAGTGCTTAAAGAAAACTTCCTGAATGCATCCAGGCGGGAATGGACATTTTAGCAGTTGTTGGACATCTTGGGAAGGGAAAAACGAAAGCGCCAGCATATTTGCGACTGATCTTGTGATACACAGGCGCGAACTGGCTGTTCCGTATTCATCTCTGTGACGTTTTGGTGCAGTGTGGGGCCATCCTGTCTGCCAAATCAGCTAAATTCCTTTGCTTGAATGTGCCTTTGAAAGACAAAGCGGAGGCCTTGCACCCTGCAGCGACGACGGGCAGCGCTGTCCAGCCTTCAGGGGCCTGTTCTGTTCTGTGTGCACATTCGATATGGAACGGCTGCCAAGCCTCGAGATTGGGCTTTGATTTCTGGCAAGCACCGCAAGACTGTGCAGGCTATTGCCGCCTGGTTAGTAATTGGAAAGTTTGATTTAAAAGCGAGCTATTTCTCTTGCTTTACACCACTTTCGCCGTGCCGCGTGGTGTGGAATGCTTGCGGGCATCGTGTTTTTGTATTTTGTCACCTAGTTGACAAGACACGTTGCATGGCACAGGGCACGATGCAGGGGCAGCTAGTTTGCCCCAGAGTCTCCTGCCCAATCTAAGGCTACCTGGCTATGCGCACCCCGAACCCATCGTCGATCAATGTGACCCGCCCAACGAAACTGTAGTCATTGGTGAGGTGCAACAAACACTGGGCCAATAGATCTGATGGATTGATGGCGTAAATTTGGTAGATTGGTTGTTGGGGCCTGGAGGGGGTGACCGCCTTCCCACTCTTGTTGCGAAAGGCGGCGGTCGAAAGACCAGCCGAACTTTTCCATCGAGGCGTTTCAGCGACCGCCAAACATGCCTGTGCCCACCAGGTCCGCAGGCCGAACGCCCCAGCGTCTTGGAACTTCGCGAATTCGCTTTAGAGATCACTGTTCCCCTGACGTCTGATTCGTCCGTGCTCCCGTAGGCTATTCGTGGAGGGACGGTTCATTGGGTACAAGAGGTGAGGGATCCCGTTGGTGGCCTATCTTTCCGGAAAGCTGTGCGATGCACAGCCCCACACGGAACCGTGATTGGGCTGATGGACTGCAAGTGCCTCGCTTCGGTTGCATATGGCCTCAGGAACTGGTTGCCATTGGCCCTGCGCTGCGAATGTGTCGAAATGAACCTGGACAGTGTTCTGAACTTCAAGTATCTGTAGCTGCCTAAGCTCCGTTCTCGAATGCCATCCCTTGACAACGCCATCTCCAAGGATTAGCTCGCGGTCGGTAGGGACATTCGACTGACACTGTCGCGCTCGCAGGAGCAAAGTTAAGCAGCGAACTCAGTGGGCGCTGCTGAACATTGATGGCGTGGCTTCGAAAGAGGAGGCAGTGTGGTACCAGGGGAAGTACGCCGCCTATGTCTACAAGGCCCTGACGAAGAAGGGCAAGGAGAAGATGACCAAGCGCGTAATCTGGGGCAAGGTGGGACGTGGCGGGTCTCTCTTGGGCTTGTTGTTCTGACAAAGGCCCATGTCGATCGACACTTCGGGGGGGTGGGCTGGGGAAGCGCACATTGCTGCTGTGCTCTGTGCATGGCTTGCAGGGTCATGGAGGCAGTGTACGGTTGACAAATGGAGTCGGCGGCTTTGCAGGTGTGCAGACCACACGGGAACAAGGGAGTCGTCAGGGCTCGCTTCAAGAGGAACCTGCCGTCACAGGCAATGGTGGGCACACCCTTGCACAAGTCCATATCATGCCTTGGGGTGCCGTCATCATCCCCATTGTTGTCAGCTGAGTCGTGGGTGCTGTCTGGCTGGGATCTGCCCAATGGATGATGGAGAGCGAGCGGCAACAGCAGTCTATCGCGACCACGTTGTATGTGGATTGGAAGAATCAAGGTGGTCCTTAAACCAGGCTGGTGCATCGTTGTAGCTGCACTTGCAGGGGCAGGATATCCTGTTGCACACTCAACCTGCCAATTTCTCTGTGTTGCAGGGCAAGAAAATCAGAGTTATGTTGTATCCCAGCAACATCTGAGCTGAGTATCAATGCCAAGAGGAGAGCAAGTGCAGGGATCTTGAGGTTGAATGGAATGAGGGCAGGTACTGCCAGGTACAGCCCGAGAAACTGGACTGGTTCATCAGGGCCCCCCCAATGCATATGGCAACAGGGTGGTTCACTTCCCATGGCCAGACAGTGTTGGTCGGGGCTGCACTGTGTCATGGCAAAGGGATTGTGTGAAAACACATGACAGCAGTGTCAATCGATCAAGATTGCTTCCTCACATGTTTCAACTGCTATCCCAGTGATCTGTGCTGGGGAGCATTTAAGCACATGGATGCATTCGAATCCCATGGGATGCTGCATGATGCCAAACCATCAAAGTTCATCTCCTAGTGCAGAGCCTTGGGATTGGTGATGGTGTGCTCATCAGGTTCTCTTGATTTGGTGGAACCACAAGAGAAAAGAGTGAAGGTGACGGCAATCAGAGAGGGCAAGGCACAATTGTCCTTTGCGATCGTTTCTTCAGGGCGCATGTCGGGCTATTCAACTACCGATTGCTCTTGCATATGAACTAGCAACAACCATTACTGCTAGCCCAACCATGTTAGCATCAACATCATTATGTCTATAACCATGAGCACACTCCCAATCCTTCTGGAAAGAGGGCGCACGAAGTCAATTCCTCCGCTGCCGAATCATACCTGTGGTGCACGTGCATGTGGGTCCAATTGTTACATGCGCTACAAACACCACAACCGAGGCCCGGGAGCAACTAAGGTTATTTCGGGCACATCAGGGGGCTGCAGAGCACCCCAGGCGTTGTTTGTTCAGAACCTGGCAACCCAGGTTTGTACACCAGAGGGCCAAAATCCCCTTCTCACTGTTCGTGTGGGTGTGTGCGTGCGTGTGTGTGAGTGGGTCATTGAAAAGCATGTAACTGCAGTAGCCTCAAATTACACGAAAATTCTGTGATCAATTCGTATATGATCTGTCCACCATTGTCATCACCAAGCTGGGCATGAAATAATTCCAGAAGGTTGCCATCCCTTGAGAGCACCCTTCCAAAATAGGGGGCAATGTATTGTGGGCCCAGCAGAGCTCAACCCTCTGCTGGGGACAGCTGGCACTTACAAAACGTCAAAACATCCCCAAATAGGCCACTTGTGTTTGGCCACTTCGGCCCTCCCACCACAGTCGCTACCAACAATGGTCCCACAATCATTCTGTGCTCATGCAATGAGTCGGCACAATCCCTGTCCACAATCAGCTCGAACTTTGAGAGTCCTTTTGATGGCTTCGTTGCATGAAATGAATACGTAGCACCTGATGATCTTCTCCTCGCACTTGTACAGAATTCATGCCCCACTGGCAGAACACAAAGTTAGTGTTTACCAGGATTCTTTTAGTTGATAGTTCATGCCTCCTCATTGAATGACATGGATAGCTACAACTCTGCAGTGTAGGGGGATGTGCACTATAAAAACATTACTTAGCATGTTATTCCATACGGTTAGCACTTGCAAGAACATCCTGCCATTCTCAGTCTCTCGAAGAACCTCTCACTAGTTCCTGGCCTACCCACCTTCACTTCATTCCATTTAAGATTTGGGTGCACGACATCCACTTGATCCTTTGAGAGCGGTGTTCCATGTTGCCTCATCTTGGCGAGGGGAAGTGGCGACTTGCACTTGGACCACTGGTACAGATCCTGCAGAAAACGGCCATCATTCAACACCCTGTCCGCCAAATGGCAGGTAACGACCACGACCCTCCCCCCCACCCCCCTTTTCGCCCACAGGAAAATGCAGAGGCTCATCCAACATTCAACTACAGTGACAAATATTCAAGCCCTTGGAGCTTGCAGCACACGCGAAAGTCGGCTCACCACTTTTTCTTGGTTGGGCTGCTGTTGTTGCTGTTGATTTGAGTCACCCTCTGTCCATGCAAGCTCAAATCTCTCCCTGTTGTGTGCAAAGCAAAAGTTCTTCCACCAGTTATGCATGCATGCACATTAAACATGCAAACATCGACATTTCCTCCCATTCACTGGCACAACAACATATGAAATGTGGCTTCGCATGCAAAAGAGATTTGCCACACAACAGTGAATAAATGGAACCAGGTGTACAATTTTCGACTGCAGGGTACCTCTTGGTCTCCAGATACAGCACTTCGGAGTGCAACCTTGCAGAGGTCCACTGCCACTGCTTCAGGCCCCTATCTGCAACGGCTTGCATCGAGTACTTCAGCCATGGCTCATTGCACAGGTTGAACAGGAAACACAGCTCGGGCACATAGCGCTGCCGTCTCTCTGCACTGGCAGTTGTAGCCCTTGTGTTCATTGCCCTGTCAAATGCCGCAGGAGTGAAGGTGGGAATAAAATCTGACTCTTTTTCAAGAGCTGGGTACAGCTCAACCGAGGTGTTGTCATCCTTGACAAGCCAGCATCCCTCCACCTATCAAAGCAAGTCAGCTGTGAACACTCACCGGTGCCACTTGCAGTGTTCTAAAACGCCATGGTCACATCTGAGTCTGCAAGCAAAGACCATTCCCACGTTTGCTGCAAATCTCGAACTAGCAGAGCAGAAACTGTTCTAACGCTATCAGCTTCAACTCTTAATTGATAACTAGAGACAACTGAACTGTGCGGTACAATCCAGCAAAAAAAAACAAGTGGGCATTGCAATGTTATTCATGTTCTAGGCTAAAAGCATTACATCACCATCCATTCTGCAGTCATCAGCACCACAACCAACACCTTGGCTTGCACCGAGTAATCTGACAAAATGCAGCACTGTCTGGAGCATACCTTGTAAGAGCAGTACTTTCTATCTTTTGAAGGATCCATCCTCCAAGATCTGGACCGCAGACCGTGTCGTGTGTTTGAGGCATAGTATTGTTGCACAGGCAGCAGCTTGATAAGGGCTCTGATCTCCATCACTATGCTTGGCGGCCGCTCAGGTACCATCCTGTAGTATCCCAGGTGCAGTAGGACAGCAACAATGTCGGAGTCATGGGTGTATATAAGATCGCCCCACAACTGCCGGGCTCTCACCTGCAAAGAAGCAGGGCAAGTTTATGGAAAGAGCACACGCTTGGACGCACTGGTTAAACACATCATGGCGAATGCATTCCAATGCCAAAGCGCCCCCCTGCCTTCCCCCCGCACAGTCAGTGTCCTGGGTGGCGATGGAGCCCATGCAGGCTTGGAGGTTGCTCATGACATGGATTGCACACTGTTGGGGGTTGGAGGTGGCGATTGCACAAGCTCAGGCAGCAGAAGGTTGGCTGAGGTCCACCAATAGCTCACAGCACACTTACAGGTTGGTGAGAGCAGGTCATGAGGTCGGCTAGGAAGACCACCTGCAGGCAGAGAATACAGAGAGGATGCTCAAATACTGACTGACCAATACAGAACCGGGTCCCAGATTAATTCCCACTGCATCTCAATTACCTCCACGTTCTGCGGGCCCTCTTCCCTGCTCTTCACAGCGAGCAATTGCTTCGCCAGGTCACCTTCTCTGTATTCAATAACCATCATGGGGCCTTCGGCTGCACAACCACAGCGTGCGTTGGTGGCAAAGAACGGCAAAAACGAAAGGGTGGAATCCTGACAGGCAGTGCAATGGCTGACACAGGGGTCAAGCCATTGGGCTCTCACTTGTGCCGCCACAGCCACACGCCCCTTGGGCGCCAAGCGCTCCACAGGGCGCGCACAGCCGGGACATGGCGGATCTGCGCAGCACAGCATTACCTTTAACCTCTGTCGAGTGCAGAAGGCTGGCTTCCGTCTTCTCCAAGCAAACCCGCTTCTTGTCCTCCTCCTGCCGCACGAACATGACAATTGACGTCAAACCCGCAGGCGCGCCAGTACAGCGTTGCGCGGCCGGCGCCACAACGCCGACAACGGCAGCCCCTGCGCAACACCACCTTCCCAATGCCATCGACACGCGGGCGCGGATGGACGCACGCCATTGCTATTGTCCCCGCGCTGGGGTTGTCCGTTTCACGCCTTACAATCCACAGCGAGCGGTCGACCCAATTCGCACAAGCAGCCCGCAAGCACGCCAAGGCCAACGAATACACTACGCGCCAACCCACATCAACCTCCGCAGCAGAAGTCTCAAGCAAAGGCGCGGGCGCAATGCGTACCGCAGAAGAAGCGCGGCCTTGCTCATGCACAGAAAGGCAGCGCGTCGATCTCATCCGCGCCTGTCGATCCCCCCTATCTGCGCTGAAACGAGCCTCCGCGCCCTTCGGCGCCATTCCAGCGGTGCGCCCACCTTGGGCACGATGCCCTCCGCGGGGTCCACCACGCCATTGGGCTCAATCTTTGGCGGCCGGGATGGACCAGGAACGACGGCCGGGGACTCGGTCTCGCACCCTACGCCAACTTCGCTGAACGGCCGCTTGGACATTGTCACCGGGGGTTCAGCGCAGAGGGCTGGCGGCGCTGCCCGCCGCCGTGTGTCGCTGGCGACAAACTCGAAGCGGTCGGCGCTCCGGCCTCCCTGGGACTGCGCTGGGTCGGGGGGGTGGCGCCAGATTGGGAAGGAAGCCTGCGCACACCAACCCCTACCAGCGCCCAACACCCACGACCAGTTTTTTATCCGCCAGGAAATTTTTTACCCATCGGCAGCAGAGGGTGCACAGGGCGGCGAAGTTGCTGTGAAAAAGAACTGTTGCGGCTTTGACACCATGACGCACGGCCAGGACCCCAAGGAACGGCTGTATCAGTCGTCGGTGAGCCGCAACAGCTTCATCCCACAACGGTCCGAGCGATCCGGAAACGGGGCAAGGGGAGGCGTTGGCACGCATGGCAGCGCTGGCGAAGGTTGCCAGGGCGCCAGTGTTGGAGCGCCGTGGTGGGCTGTGCCCACGACAGTTGCCAAGGCAAGGGGTTCTGCAGGTACGCGTTGCATTCACACACTGGCGCAGGATGAGCGGAACAAAGGCAACGAGCAGTTGCCGCCGTCATCTTCACGATGTTTTTAGCCTGCACCAGCTTGTGGGCGGATTCGGTATGGGTTGGCTTGTGTGGGTCAATATTGTGCGAACACCGTTTAGACTACTGCCGTGCCTCCGCCGTGCATTTAGTGTTCCGGCAGTGTCCCGTCGACGATGGTGCAGCCTCGCCAGAAAACATTTCCTAAAACGTATCGACCAACTGTGGCGCTGGTGCGTTCTCAAGGATAAGAGCAGAGCAACAGCAGATAACCAGCTGGGCGCCGTATGCTGGCGTGATGCAACTTGTGCGAAATTGCAGTAACTGTCTTCGTATCAAGGCAGAAGGATTATCACCTAAATTGTTATATCCTGTTATCCTGGCAAGTTTCACTCATGATACAGTGGCCAGCGTCAAAATGTCTTGCTGATTTCCTGGGTGCCATCCACAATTCACTGCTACTGCAAAGACATTCAAGGTGCACAGCTCGCTTGCACATACCTGGGCATGCACCATAGGGTCACCATTCTTCACATGTGGCGAGCCAGATGACAGCACGCCACATGACTTCAAGTGTTCTACAAGACACATGGTTGCACATTCGATTGACATCATCTTCTCGGTTTGTACCACACTGCTGGTGATCAAAAACGGCATGCCCAGAAATTCAGCTCAGAATGGAAGCCATCCACAAGCGTCCATGTGAAGATATTGCAAAGCTAAACTGCAGCGACCCTGCCTCCCTGAAAACTTGGCACAGCGTTCAAGGTACCAAAACTTTTCTTCAGGAAACACGTGTGCTGAACCTCCTGCGACTGCCAGCAACCAAACATCCTTTGCCAGAACGGGAATAGCCCTGCACTTGTACATGTGAACGCACGTCCAGAGCTGGGGATAACAGACAATACAGCTGCTGTTCCCTCCAACGACTCATTTCTTCCCATCTTCTGCACATCTAGCCTTCCAGTTGTCGATCCACTCCTGCGCCTCCTGACGGCGTTGCACGAGCTCTTCCGGATCCGGTGGCCCCTCCCACGGCCACCGAAAGGCTGCAGCAGCTGGGCGCTTTGCTTTCGCTGCAGCTGCAGTCTTCTTCTCTGCTGCTGCACTTTCTGCTTCTGCCACCTTTGGCTTGGCACTCGCAACTGCTCTCTTCTCGGCTTCTTGCTTGCTGCCAGCAGGCGCCCCATTCTTCCAATTGTCAATCCACTGCTGTGCATCTTCACGGCGCTCAACGAGCTCTGTTGGCTCAGGTGCTGGCTTAGCTGCTGCGTCCCACGGCCACTTGAAACCAGCAGCAGGTGGACGGCTTGCCTTTGCTGCTGCTGCCACCTTCTTCTTGGCTTCCAGTGCCGTTTTTAAAGCTGCGGCTTTATCTTCAGCGGCCTTCTTCTTCTGGGCCGCTGCCTCGGCCTTGGCTGCTGCTATCTTCTTGGCCTCCTCCTCTGCTTTTGCCTTTTCCTCTACTGCTTTCTTCTCGGCTTCTTCTTTAGCCTTCGCCTCAGCCTGCTTTCTCGCTGCTTCCTCTGCTTTTGCTTGAGCCTCTCGTTTCTCCTTCTCCTGCGCAGCGCGTTGAGCTTCACGCTGTGCCTCAGCCTTCGCCTTTTGCTTGGCAGCATCGGCAATCTTCTTTTTGGCTGCTGCCTCTCTCTTTGCCTTCGTAGCAGCAATTGCCTTCGCCTTGGCTTCAGCAAGAATGGCCTTCCTAGCTTCCTCTGCGGCAGCTTCTCTGGCTCTCTGGTCTGCTTCCAATTTGGCTGCACGCTCAGCAATGGCCTTCTCAGTCCCTTGACGCCTTGCCTCGCTGGCAGCCTGAGCTCTCAGCCTTGCTTCTTCGTTGATGTCCCCCTTAGCCTTGGCTTCCCCAGCCTTAGCTTCCAGATCTTCGACACTGACTGGTGGAGGTGCATACATCTTGGGTGCCACAGGCTCAGTCATCTGCACATTCACGGGAGCTGCCTTGGGAGCCACAGTGACTGCTTTTGGGGCTGCCTTGGCAACCGCAAGAGCAGCCTTCTTTTCTGCTAGCTCAGCCTTCCTCTGTGCAACCTCTGGTTGAAGGATTGGACGGGCGATGGCATCCTGCTCCTGCTTCGACAGCAACATGCCAGCCCGGGCAGCATTCTGTATTGCTGACAAAACCGCACGCGCTGCAGCTTCTTTCTTTGCCTGGTTACCACATCCAGTCCAATGACTTGAAAGGATGCAAACCCAAGACAGTGATCAGCTGGAAACCAGCACAATTTCAGGGATTCTGTGTTTGCCCATCTTTGGCCCTCACTCCAACATCTCTGCATGCAATCTATTTCTGATGGGAAGCATCAGCAAGAAGCAAGCAAGCCCAAGAAATAGACTGGCAAAGCACGCAACTTGTCCATGAATGTCTGTGGCCTGTGCACTCAGTGCTGTATGGAGCCTCAATCTTCATGACAATCGCAGCTCACAACACCCAATGGTGCAGACGTCCAGATTGCGGTTTTGGTTGCTGGCATGGAAAGGTACCAAATTTCAATTCTGTGTACTGCAATTTGCTAGTGATAGTTATTTCTTTCCTCCCCAGACCCCCCGTACAGCAGGTAAGACTGCATAATATGGCCACCTGGGTGCTCCACAGATGATTGACACATACAATTAGTGCTGTTCAGAAGGACATCCACATATGGGCAGTGCACCCTGCAAGGTAGGAAAAGCACATGCAACAGAAGCGGACCCATGCTACCATTCAATGTTCTCTTACAATTGCCACAAAAGTGTCCACACTCTTCCTGCGATGACAACAAAACTGGAGGGCCTGGGTTCTTACCAGACCATCAGTCTTTGACCTCAGCATGTCCAGATCCTTTTGTGCCTTCTCAGCAGCCTTCTGAGCTGCAACTGCACCAGCTGCTACACTCCGTTCTGCAGACTGACATTCTCTTGCGCGCGTTTGAAGCACAGTGGCACGCTCACCCAGATTGGCACTGCTCTTTTTCAGCTGCTCCAACCGTTTCTCCGCTGCGGCAATGTCCTTCAAACACTTGGCGGCATTCTGCTTTGCTTTCACCATTTCTGCCTGAATTTTTCCAAGGCAAGCACCTTTATAATAAGAAAGGAAGCCAAGAGTGGTACCAATGAAAGAAAATCCAAAACAAAACGATCTCAAACAACCGTCGCTTTTGGGAGGAGGGCAGGTGTCGGTCAACGTGCGTTCTGGCGAACGCTGAAAATTCTCAATTTGTCGGCGTTGCCTGGAATGCGCTTGACTCCTTTGTCAAACGCAACCAGATCGCCACATTGGAGACACTGGCAAACAATGTCGACAGCAATGGAAGGTGCAGAGGCAGCTTTCCACACAGTTCAAACGCTCAACAGCTGGTGCACACAGCTGCCAGTGCGCTGCAACAACGCCGTCACGCCTGACGACGGCGTACAACAATACAACGTCAAACGCGTGCAAACTGGGCAATTGAGCGGAGCCAACGCGCTGAGGCGCGTGTGGTTGCCCATTCAGTCGTGGTGGTCGCAACAAACAGCCGAGGCCAACAGCGACAGCTCAAACACTGTGTATCCGCGCTCGTCGGCGGTCGTCTCCAGCCATGATCGTCAAAGGAAAGACGTCGCGGCAATTCACACGACAAGTTGCGGATACACATGCCAGAAGCTCGATCGCGGCTTTTCGTATTCTTAGGCGGGCATCTGAATAAGAATCGCGATCCGCCGCTCCCTCTCCACAAATAGCTCACCGTCAGCTTGTCGCCGGCTCCTGTACGACGCGCCTTTGCCGGAGCCTTGGCAGGTTTCTGCACCTTGGCCGTCCCAGGCTGCCGACGGCGAATCTGCTGGGTACCGCGCACGGCGGGGGACTTCCCATTCGCGACCGCCGCCTTCTTTGTGGTGCCCCACAAGTTAAGGCCCCAGCGCCGATCTGCAAGCGCACGCGAGTGCAAGTTCACCAACCGTTGCAGGCCACCCGGCGCGACATCCCAACTCAGCGCAATTGCCATAGCAGTCGCGCATTCGACTCCCCCACACACACCTTCGGCCTTGGGCCCGGATTTGGCAGCCCTCTGGGCGCACGTCACCCCCGCGCGCCTGGCGCAACTGTCCAACACACCGTCACAAACCGTGAGGCCAAGCGGCAACAAGATCCGCGGCGACGGCGCGTCTCCGCGCGGGCCAGATCTCGCCGCATCCACCCGCCGACCTTTCGCCTACCTTTTCCTCCGGCTCGCCCTAACCCCGAGAACGGGCGCGCCGGCGACTGCACGCCGGACGTACAGGCCTGGACAGCCGCCCAGTGCCGACGAGGACAAGTGGTGAGAGGCCATTGCGGCGCCGCACGGGTCGTGCCCGTCGCAGGGCACCTGCGCTGGAGGGCAGGCGGTGCCTTGCAGCCGGGAAGGCGACCAGACGCGGCGGGGGAGGGGCCCAAAAGGCCTTGGCCGGGGGGGAGCCTGTGCTGGCGCTGCGCGCCCAGGCGGGCCCCGGGAAGATCACGGAAATTGGCGCGAGGCCGCCACGTCAGCCGCCCTGACCAATGCAAGTCGATCTCGGTGCCGGATCCAAGATGGCACGCCGGCTTTCCGATTTGCGAGCGAGGGGCGACCAGGTCCGGTACAGAGAGGGCTGGCAATGGGGACACCTGACCGGCCTTAATGGTCGGTCAGCAGACACACAATGGCAATAACTGCTTGGCCTGCTTTGGTTTGGCACAGTTTTCTGTGCCAAGCAGTTTCTGGTCATCGCAGGGTCCTGGACTGGATTGGTGTAGACCATGAAACACACAAGAATATAGCCAAAGGTTTGCAATCGCCGTTGGCTGCGAACGCCCGCATTTGTAAACATTTTCCCGAGAACTACGTTTTCCCATAAGGGATAGTTCCCAAGAAATGTGCTTCAGAAGTATGTGAGTTTCCCATTGGCGATTTTCCATCCTCAATGGCGGCGTCGGGGCAGTTTTCTATGAACACATGGACTGACCACAACAGCCGGCTAAAATCAATTGTGTGTTGAGACGGATTCAAGCAGGTTCTGCCGTGTACGAATCGTATTGTATGGCAACACTTCGGAGGTGGAGTGGCGCTGTGGGCTGATATGCGCCAACGCCAGAGAGCAAGACGTGCGTCGGCTGGTTGCATACCATCTGTGGCAACATGCACGCCAACATCTGGGTTTACTTGTGTGCCGTTGTTCTGCATTGAACCTGAAAAATCGCGACAGTGTACACCGTCTCCGTTTCGGGTCTTGCACGTATCTGGATATATTCCAGGCATGCACATACCTGCATATAGTATCACATATATCTGATACTACAATGTGAGCTACGAGAATAGTACAGTATTAGCTATGAGAGCCATGAGAATAGTATGAGCTAGCAGTCAGTTTCATTGTTCTGCACATCGCTGGGGCATGCGACTCTCGCACGGAAACTGCCAGCGGTCGACCCCAAGGGCTTGCGGACCTCTTCTGGCGTCTTGTGTGCACCAAATGGCGTTAGCATGGGCAGCATGTGCCGGCTGTGCCGACTCGATAAGTTACCGCGGGGGACGTGGGGCTAGGAAGGACGACGTCTTCGGTCACCGTGTTGGATTGGAATTGCTGTCAATTACTTCCTCGCACTGCACTCTTGCTGCAATGATAGTTGCACCCTTCTTTTATTCTTTCGCACTATTATTCGGTCATTTTCCATTTGGCGCGATTTCGATGGAGCTCGCCGTCTCGACAGTTTTTGGACAAATTCGGCGTGTGCATGAACGGCCGCTTGGCAGTGGCGGCGGGCACAATGGGTCAGAAATCCTTGACTTTGATAGCAGCCGGGTTTTGCAGAGCGCAACGGAACAGAGTGTTTCGTGGAGCAGTTTTGTTGAGGGGCAGACCTGCCTTCTGTTTAGGCGTGCTGCAGAGTTTGCGGCGCCCTTATGCCAACCTTCGCCACATCTAATGATTGGGGATTGTTTCTGCACCTACGCTGTCGTCCAGGCACCGCAAAATTTCTAGCCAATTCTCGCAGTCTTGGGACTGGCGCACATAGGGTTATGAGGAGGGCAATCGATCGACAGGGGGCCCGATCAGCGTCGATGAGCAGCCGTGGCAGTCAACATTTTCTGGCGATGAGTTGAAGCACAAACAGCTTAGAACATGCAGAGAACCCATCCAACGGGTGCGAGGATCTCTGACTGTACTGCAGAAGAAGGCACTGTGCGCACAATGCTCTATGCAGCAAGCATGAATGCAAGTGCATGGCAATCAGCAACGTTCAATTATTAATTGAGATATTGATGAACAAATGGATCCACCAATGTGAGGAACATCCTCAGACATGATGGATGCAGTTGTGGTGCTCCAAGACCTGCAAAAGCGTGTGGGCACATTGAATTTCAAAGACCAGAATGAATATGAATGCTGGCGTGGAGGGACTCATTGCGGGTACTTGATCTAAGCCGGGGCATACTTCTCGAATTCGAAATGTATATGCATGTACGAGTGCGGCTATAGAAGCTGCAGAATTGAGCACACGACATGGGTTAGATGTTTTTAGCGTGTCTTGAAGCGATCCTGATCCCCACAAACTTGTAGAGGTCATGGTTTTGCACATTTGTAGGGCTATGGCCATAGTCCATGGGTAGGGCCGTCTGAGCATCCTGGCCTGTTGTATTTCTTCAGTTGGATCCAGGGCAGAGCATGTTACATGCCTCCAGACCCAACTAAGTTGTTTTGGGCAAATTCTTTATGGGGCTCAGTATCTCTCCCTCAAGGGTTCTTCTGCACTCGAAGACTGGCATTTTATGGTGGCTGCCAGCCTTACTGTGAATACTCCTCGTGTTTGCGGCGGTGCTCTGATAGTATACTATACTATACATACTATGGCATACATACTATAGTTTACTATACATGTACGTACAATGGTCGTCTTTGAATATAACAGAGCGCTTCTGAGGCATCTTCCTTTGGTGGGTGCATGACAATTGCCTTGCAGGATAAAAATATCCCTTTTTTTCACTGTGTGTCGAGTGGCTTGCGCATTTCTGAATCGCGTCGAAGACCCGACGGATTGTTTGTATACGAGCAGGATGCCCGTGCGGTCTGCTGGCAACAGCTGGACGCCCGGGATTCTGCTTCCTTTTGGTCGCTCGCCTGTTCGCAGCTCCCTCGGCCCGTGGCGCAGCCGTTACAGACAAAACACGTTCCCAATGCGGCATGAGATCGGGACATGTTGCAACTGGCCGACAGCTTCAGATATGCGCAATGATCATGGAAGAATGGTAGAACGCGTCTGGGTGTCTCAGAAATGAAGGGGCAGCATGTCCTGTGAAAATGAAGACGACAAATACAACCAAAGCGGAAGGCAGAATGGTTGAAAATTCATGTAATATGGGAGAGAAATCGTTAGCCCCAAACAAGTGGAATTCCACACAAGCACACAACATTGTGCAACCAATATTGCACAACAACACAGCTTCCATTTGCAATCATATCACATTTGTTAGTTCTCGCATGAAGCATTAGTCGATTGTCTGCCAACGATAACCACACCACATCACATGCACTTACGCCCTCATTCCTGGCCACCCCGGGAACGGAATTAATCGCTTGGTCTCAAACACCGCAACCAAGACGAATGCAGGTGGAGCGGATCCAACCAATGCTGGGAAACACCATCAACACCAGGCTCGCTGGCCTGGACTGCGACGATGGGGTGCCACCACGCCTCCGTTGGGATATCGCGTACAGTGAGCTCAATTTTCAGAAGCAGTTTGCTGCCATGTAACATAGTTGAGCTGCATTTTGCGCTCAATATGCTGGTAACTCGAACATCTGCAATCTTTTGTACATATCGATTGTTTCTATTTCTGGACTCTGCTTTATAGACGGAGGAGCTCCCCTGGTGCTTTTGGACAAGATAAACTACACCATTCGACGCTATGCATCGTTGGCTGGCCGCACGTTTGCTGTGCAGTGAATTCAATCAGAACGAAACTTCTTTCTAGCGCAGTTGGGAACATGCTTTTGCAATCAACTCCAAAGAACGGCAAACTACATTGGCTTTAGCTTGTGCTCCTTGCACCAGCACAAAGTGGAAGTGGTGATGACAAAACGTGCAACAAACCAAACAAATCAAAACAACGACTTTCGCAATATGGTTCGCTCCTTTGGTGCACTGCCCTTGGCATGGTCGCACTCTTCCTAATACCGAGGAGGCCGCGCCCATGCCTTCTTGGTAATCCCCTCCACACACCTGTCCGCAATGCTCCCTCTCGAAAAATCCAACACTTCAAGTCCCTGCTTCGCGCTCCGATGGCCCCTCCCCACTGAATCCAAGAAATAGGGCAATCAAGGCGAGGAGGCAGCCGCCAGCTCCCCATCTCGCCCCAGCCAAGCAGGCGTCCCCAGTTTGTCTACGGTCCCCTGAGTGTCCTCTCCGGATCCGGCCCGTACTCAGTGCGGTACCTCGCCCCCTCACTCCTGCGCTTCCATGCTTGCCTCCGTCTCCTTGCGCATGAGGATCCGGCTGGGGGCCTCAGGGCCCAGCGGGAGCAGCCCCATGCGCCGCTCCCGCGCCACCTCCCTGTACCCCGCGCCTGCGTACAGCCGCACGGCGCCCTCGTTGTCGCTGTATACGTGCAGCGCCAGCGGCCCCTCGCCCCAGCCCTCCGCCACCGCCTCCGCCGCTGACAGCAGGGCCGATCCCAGCCCCCGCCGCCGGTCGGCCGGCTGCACCGCCATGCTGCTCACGTAGGCGTAGGACGTCGCGTCGGGCATGCGGCCCAGGACGGCCGGGTCGCTCTGCACGGACACCTCCACGACGCCCAGGATGGCGCCCAGGGGGGATTCGGCCACCAGGACCGCGAACATGTCCGACGGGTTGTAGTGCAGCTTGACCAGCAGGGAGTCCAGGACCTCCGCCTGGAAGAGGAAGTACAGCAGGCCGTCCAGGGGCTTGATGGCGGCTGGCGTGTGGAAGGCCTGGGCCTGGAGAATCGCGACTGTCTTGGCCTCCTGGCGCCTCATGGACCTGATGGTCCATTCGTCGCCCGGCTGGTGCTGGCGGGAGGACGGCCCGGGGCTGGCAATGGGGTCTCCTTGCGACGCGTGGCACAAAGCAGCGGAAGGATGGGACTGAGGGGGGCCGAACCTGGGAAAAGGGGGGGACGTCATCCTGGGATAAGATCGCCGACCTTGCGAGGGACGCCTGCTGGCGACGGCAATTGCGGCACGTGTGGGTGGTTGAAAGGCCAGTGGAGGCTGGAAAGTGAGCTTGGGACAGAAAAGAACGCAAAAGCGGGCTGGGGATAGGAATGGGCATCACCTGCCTGTGGTCATCCATTGAGCCGTGTTGTCTCCAATGCAACAGCGAATGGAATGTTGGACAACACAGGCAGGCACGCCTGGTCTACTCACCGGCAGAGGTGTTGGCTCTGTCTGGGACTCCCTGGCCGAGAGGGGGGCGTCAAGCAGTTTTTCGCGGGCCCCTTGATGCCGGCGGGCCACCAACACCCAAAGCGCTGGTCCACCCTGGGTGGCGCCATGGCGACAAGGGGATCGACAGGGTCAGGGCGGTTGTGCGGAAGTGCGGGGCCCAAGTTAGGAGTGCCGGGAACATGGCCCGGCTGTGGACAGGCTGGAACTGACGCTGGCTGCTTTGCGAGCGAACGCGCCCACCTGTCCCGAGGCTTGGCGCCCAAGGCACGGGGCACGGGCCCACGGATGCACTTGGAGAAGGGCTGCATCCCTGGCCACACCCCAATTGGGGCAAATGAAGCATTACGCTTCATTACTGGTTGGGTTCAGCAGATGTTTCACTGTGGATCAGGGAGAAACCACGCCTCTTTGCTCGATTCCCATTGAGCCACACTACACCATGTGACTCGAAATGTTGGTGCGCGCGACTTTCGTGCATTTCGTGGAAGGTTTTATTCACATAAATTGGAGCACGCTCGACGGTGTGCACGAGTTTGCGTGGCGCAAACTTTTCAGCCTCCCAGAAATTCCCAGCGCACAGGATTTGGAGGCCTTCTGTGCAGCTGAGCCTGGAGACCACATTCGATTCCAGCGCCAGCCAATGCCATGTTCTGCTGCCTTGTGCAATCTGGTGGCAGCTGTTGGCTGGCTTGCAGCGGCCCCTGGGGTTTGCTGCGGCAGTGGCCTCAAGGTCCTGCACCAAGATTCGGCTGGCCGATGGCTGCCGGTGTAAACGATCTATTGGGTGCCTTTGCGATGTTAGCCACTAAGCAAACAGCGCCACATCTCGCAATCGCCATGGCGCAGACCAATGGGCTGCATGTTGCCCAAGTGCCGGCACCCCGTGGGGGAGCTTAGTTGGATGTGTGGTGTCCACAAGGTTCATGTGGCAAAGAAGTTCACATGACAAAAATGTTTGCAGACAAGCATTCCCGCAGTGGCCTGAGAGCAAAAATGTGCAAAAGTGTATTTTGCTGTGAACTCTCCTGTGTCAAACAGAGGTGCTGCGATATCTGCACAAGAAAGCAATCAGTAGCAGTACTATGGGCAGCACTCGTTGACACTGATATACTGTTGCCAGAGGCTGCACCCAGGCGCAGGCCACAGACTGCAAAGAATGGGTTACCAGATAAAATGTACGTCAGGAATGCAGTACCACACAGGATGCCATGTCATGTTCTGCCATTCAATGTCACCATCCCACCTTGAGGAGTACCATGCACGCCACAGTACCATATCACATTGTGCGCATATAGTGTCCACAAGTTTTGCGTTATGTAGGGCTTAGTTGCTAGTATCTCTATTCACAAGTTGCAATGAAAGTGGATTCTTCCGGTGCCTTCTGTGACTACATGACACTCTCATTCAGACATTGCATCATAAGCGCTCTGACATCATTTGATTGCCTTTCAACCACATCCAAACCATCAATAATCACAGGAAAAGATTGCGACTCTCAAGGGATACTCTTAGGGTGGTTTGAGAGTAACAGCATTAATGGAAACTTGTTCACAGTCTGGGGATCAACAGGATCAGTCAAGAGGGTAGGGGGAAAAGGAGTGCACTTCAACAGAGCTGCAACCAGGCCATAACCACGCATGCTTGAATAGGATCGCTTGAAGGCGTTTGAGAAGATATTCCACATTTGGAAGCAAGCCTTCTCCCATTGTGGCACTCTACAAATGTTCACACAGCAAAGAATGTGCTGAACATGCCCTCCACATGACAGCCAGCCACAGCATTCAGCCCCCATCCACCATCGCTGCCACAAACCCTGGCAATTCTACCATTGTTGCCCTCAACAAAGCCACAGAGAATCCTGCATCAAGTCCCTAATCTGTGGCATTTTCATACAGGTATGTGAGTGTGCATTTGCCACAATACACCCTATCAAAATGTGTGGCCATGAAAATCCCAGGTCCACAACGAGGGCACTGCTTCCTGAGTCTCTGAACCTTCCCAGAGTCGTCAACCTGCAAGGCACAAGTGCGACTGTGTCGTGTCAGCCACAGAAGTGCTGTTTATTAGCTCGCATGCTCATCGGTATGCAAGGTTGCCACCAACACTGCTATCAGTCAAACAGTGTATACCAGACTGCAGGTACTCAGAAAGAGCTGTCTCTAACAGCAATCTATGTACAACAGCCCAACTTGAGTTTCAGGGACAAGAAATCAAAGTAGTTGCATGCTGTTGCTTGTTCAGCATCGGCGAGGATAGCTGTCCACAGGGCTAGGGTCATTCTCTAGCAATTCAAGGTTGGTCGGCGAAGTGATCATGAATTTGGCTCATGGCCTATGCATATGGCAGTCATGGCGAAGAAATACCTGTATGCTATTCCACAGAAATAAGGCGCTCTACAGATTTGTCAATCGTTTCTTTGTGTACTTGGGCATGGGTGCCTTCAACAAGAACGACAGCTGTTGTCAAAATGCACGCCCAGGGCATAAAGTGAAACTACTTATGCAAGCCTGACATGCTGGTGACTGTGCCTGACTTGTGACTGCTTGTTAACATTCTGTCCATAGAAAAATAAGAGCAACTGTCCTGCAGCACTTCACACACAAACATTTGCGTGTAGTATGTTCAGGTTCAAAACAGAAGAGGGGAAGGGACCTGTGCAGGAAGGACTGAATGAGGATAGGGTGGATATGGTGATTGTGGCATAAACAATACTTGTACAGTGTCACCCATGTGCAGGGATATACACACATTCCTCTCATAACTGTGCCTTGAGACTCTTATAGCGAGTTGTTGGCTCTGCTGTGGGCATTGATCCACACAGATACTATTTGTTGCCTTTGCATGAGCACGAGACAAGGGAACTTCAATTTTTGTGACACCTGCAATGCACAGCAAACGCAACAGCCTGTCAGGGGCACTACAGAGTGCTATGGAGTGCTATGTTGGTGGCTCTAGCTCCGGACATCTGCATGGATGCCTTTGCACAACTCCCAAACGGGCTTTGGGGCCTTCTCTTTCCCTTTTGCTTTCAAACCATTCTGACCGACACCTTTCCACCTATTTTCTTTTCTGGTGTTGTTCCTTTCTCTTTTGCCAACACGTATCCGTTCAGAACGGTTACGTTTGATTGTCGATGGACAAAAACGTTGCCTTCCTATGCTCCTATGATGAACAAACAGTGACGAGTTTCTATAGGTGGACGACCCTGGTATACACATTTTGCTCCTGTCTGTGCATGCACCCTGTCTTCGATCCCATTGCTGCCAGCAATGCCATCTGCAATGCTGCAAAATGGAACAAGACCCGTCTCATGCTCGCTTAGAGACAGTGCTCCAATGCATGTTCTGTTTCCGGCCTTTGCCAATTTATCTTTGCACAGCACCAAATGAAGCGTAGCTGCAGAAGTGCCTGACCTCAGAACAACTGGTGTGCTGACAATTCCAGCTAAAGGCATTGTTAGGTGCAGTCCAACGGCAAATTGCTTGGGCGACTGCTCGTGCACCTCTTTCGGAGGGGATCCTAACTTGACACTCCGATTATTGCATCTACCCACGGCCCTTACCTTGTAAACCTTCAGCATGCGGAGTTTCACCGACTTGTGCTTGTGCTTCAGCTTCTTGGGCTTGGTGTAGTTCTTCTTCTTGCGCTTCTTGGCACCTCCCAACAACCTGAGGTGGGCGTACAGCGTGCTGTCGTCGCTCACCCCTTCCGAATCCAGCCGACGACCCTCAACAAGCAGCCGGCCGCCATGCGTGAGGTATGCAGACTCCGCATCGATGCCTGAACGTCCACAAAACACAACGCAGCATCAGGCAGGAAACAAGAACAGCGGAGCACACACCTGCGCGATCGGTGCGGTGCGCGACTGCCAGGCAACTTGTCAAAATGCATTGCCTCGAGTGCGTGACGCTGTACGCTTTCCGCAGTGTAATGAATGCCCCGCGATCGACTTCTCCCGCCCCTAGCGCAAGATCCTCCCCTGCAGATGGGATCTGGCGCGATGGGCGACTGATCTTGATGACCACGTTCGTTCATGTGTTCGATGGTCGGTTCAAGCCGCCCCAAAGTCGAAAACCTTACACTGTGAAGGCAACCACGGTCCCAATGGCCAACGGCCAGCGCAAGCTCGCCCTACCGCATCGACGCTGCAGAGCCTCTTTCACATCTTTGCCGGTGGCGTCAGCTGCCAAGTGGAGGACGTGTGTCCTGTCTGCGAGGCGGGGACAAAGGCATCCGTGTCAGCGTCCCACCGACTCCCATCCCCTCCGGACGCGTGGCCAGTGCCGCAGACAGACCGCTTCGAACCTGTCCGAACGAAGATTTGCATCGCGACTCTCGGCAGTGGCCGTGCAGCGCCCAGTGCCTTCCTCAAGCCGCGGACAGCAAACTTCGGGAGAGGGCGGCGCCGCCTCCCTCTAATGCAGCGCACGGTTTGATCAACCAGCAGATGGTTTGTGCCCTGGGCCCGTCGTAATTTGTCGCTATCTTTGCAGTTATTAGGTACTAATTAGGTACTATTTGCCGCCCTTGAACTCTGCTGGCCATCGCATTGAGCACGGGCAATGAGGCAAGCCTGTAGCTTAGTGTCCATTGGGTGCGCAACACCGTATGTTTTAAAACCCTTCTGCATAGTAACGTAACAGTTGGCCCTTTTTGCCAGAGAAAACAATAGAATAAAATTACGCTCCTCAACAAAATTTTCGCGGAGCAACGTAAAGAAATAAATGTAACGCTCTGACAAACAAAATGCGAGGCAAAAAGCGTAACTGTAAAAATTTTCCGATGCGGAAGGGCTTGAAAAACATACAGTATTTGACATCCGTACGAATTCAGTGTACCCAATGGGCGCCGAGCTGCATTTGGTGTCTTCTCAAGGTTTTGCGTACATTCATTTGGGAATGGCCTTGAAAGTTTCCCACACAGGGTGTCGCTGTAAACAGAACAACGCCTCCAATTTCAACTGTCCATATAGCAACCAATACCGAAACAACATCCACGCAACAAGACTGCGAATTGACACTGCATCAGCGAAAAGCTCCACTTCGCTGGGACCAAGAAGCACGGCATGAAAATTGGTCCACATTGTGTGAGCATCCAACGTGTCAGTTACAAAACTTCGGTTCTTCGGCAGCAATGCCCTGACTGAAAACATCTGCTGTTGTACATATTGTTGTTTATTTATGTGGCACTGCATAACAATAATATATACGGCAGTGCAATGCTTTGTTGGAACACGCGGTCTGCAGTTGAAGTTTCAGTACAAAACTGGAGATGGTGCGCACAATTGAATGGCCCGGGATGTTTATTCCATGTTCCCAGTGGCATTTATCGGTTTTGGGGTACTTCTCTATGGCTTCATTGTTGATCTTGCTTGCGCGCACCAGTGAGGACAAAAGAACGTAGTGGGAATGAATCCTTGGTTGCGTCGTTAAACTTGGCAAGTCCAGGAAAGCCCATGCCAAAGCCCATAATTTGGCTGCTGCACAAATCCCCCCAGAACACATGGGAGCAGCGTATCTGCATGAAAGCCAGGAAATTTGAACATTTTTCGGACAGTGTGCCACTCATCCTGAAGAAATTCGCACCCCTATGGCATCAACAAGGCATGTAGACTTCTCCGCACATCAACTTCCCCCGCCCTTGAAGGAGCAGCGAAACAACACACCAACGCTACTTTCAGCAAAACAAGCCTCACCATACACGCTACCGTTCCATTGAGGATGCTCACGTTCCTTCCCATCTCTGGAGTTCTACACTTGTGTGAGTCTCAGTGCGCCCACAGCGACATTGCAGCCGCCACGCTCCAATTTGTTTCACAATCAAACACATTCCCTGGGCTGTTCTCGCTTGCAGTGTAAATTCAATGAAAACCAGCAGCCATGCAAGTGGTCAGGCAGTTGAGCCACTCGTGCCCTTGGCAAGGGCATGTACTCGTGCCTCAAAAATTGGAGATACAATGGGCTGAATGCACCGCAAACATTGGCATCAGTTGTACAAAAACAGCAAGAAACAACAACAGGAAGGGAATGCCAACACAATATCATTGGGGCATGCGGCAATATGCTGTGCACCATGAACACCTCCCGAATGCAGTGCTGTGTACAAATGCCTTGAATAACTAACCACAGTGTGAACAGAAACAAGTAACAGAACTACATCCACGCCTGTCTCATCCCAGACTTGCCACACATCATATGACATTCATCGCACTTTCAATTAATCACCAGGCATTCCTGTTGCCTTTCTGCACGCTTCTGCAGGCTACCAAAGATAGTTGAGCAACCTGCACATTGCTTCCCAACAGCTGCCAGGCAGAACTCGTGTGGGCAAATGTGTGCAACATACTTTTGGGGCTTTACAGGCTAGCAACAGCAGAAACATTGTGCAAACATCACATCAGGATACAGAATCAGGCAATTGGATTCGATGTCCATGGGCTGCTATATTGTTAGGCGTGCACAACCTGACCTGGAGAGGCCCTCCACATGGACATACATTCTCGTCACATATTGTGACACATGTAATGCGGCTTACGGGTGTTAAGGGTACATCTGAGCCCAGCCAATATGTTCTTCCATTCGACACGCAACCATACACTTGCAAGCCAAAATAAATCGACTTGTGACTTGACTGTTCCATCGGGCCATGCAGCATTAACATGTAAGGAGCGCAAAGCAGTTTCAATCCTCCAAACGGAGCGTTCACTAGTTTCACTGTCTTATATTGGGCATCCCCCTACAATGCCGCACGTGGTATGCATCACCTGTGATGAAACGAGTCAACAGATTGCCCACACTGCCTACCATGCCAAACGTGTAGAAGGGGTTCGACACTGCATTCACATAGGCATGGTGAAACCTCCTGAAGATCTTCAGTGCACACACCCACACAGAATATCAGCTTCTCCATGTCAATAACTCGAGCTTGTGACCTTTCCATAAGGATATTGAGATAGCCAAGCCAGGAATCAAGGTGCTTTCAGCACGCCCAGGCGGTGGATCTGCAACTCACAACACACACAGCTGTATAAAGCAAACACAGGACAGGCTGACGGTGCCCTGCTACAACACAACTACCCAGTGCTGCCCAGGCTGGTATGCCACATGCACACAGACTGCATGGGTCAATTCAGATTCTCAAACACGCACTTATGGATGCCTTAAGTGCCCCTAATTACGTCCTGGGCTGGGTGCAATGTTTCATCATTGGAACGAATGCAATCAAATGCAACCATCGCTACTGTGCTTTTGGGTTTCACAACATGTGTACTGCCAAGAATTGTGCGAATCTCACCAGCTGAATGTCATCTTCTTTGAAAGGCGCATCATCCACCACCAAAACAAACTTAATATGGGTGCTTGTGACGTACCTAAAGAGAACAAGAGATATAATCAACTGTACTGCAGGTTCATAGGTACTGCGTGTGGGTGTAAAGGCTCACTGCAGAGAAGGCGACCAGCACTCTTTACGTGTATGCATGCTGGGCAAATCTGTTCTCTGTGCAAATCTCACTGACATGATACTTCTACGTCAAGGAACTGTGTGAAAACGCTGCATCAGATAGTCAGCGCACAGGCACTTACCCAAACACCTTGCAGTCCTCGGTCGGATAGAGCAGTCCCAAATATGCCTCTTGAAGCTCTGCGGGGTTTCTCTTTGGTGCCAGCACTGCACAGAAGGCGTTGCTATCAAAAATTTAAAGTGAGTTCTCAGGGCATACCAGCAACACTGGCAGTGCAGTCATGGAACTGGGACCAAGAATCTCTGTGTGCAATGCAAAGAACAGCTCCCTGTGTCCACCGCCTTCAGCAGGCCTTACTCAATGCCACATTGTTTCCTGTGGAGGGTAATCCGATGCTTCTCAACTTTCGCAAGAGAGAGCCTGCATCCTGGTGGCTGCAGCAGTGTTGAGCCAAATTCTCATGTACGCCCATGGACAGCAAGGCAAGATGCATGTTCTCTTGGAGGCTTAGGTCCTTGAAGATCCCACCATGGAGAGACTGTGTTTGCTTGCCTTTCTCTTCGATTGCGTCCAGAGAGCAGTGCACAATGTAGTGGAACTTCAATGCCGATTCGCTGCTCTCATCAAGGAAGCACCTAATGTAGAGGGGGTTGTTCTGCACGCAACCAGCACGAGAGAATTTGTCTGCCTCAGGGATCCCTTGCAGCAATCGGTGCCCCCGCCCGTTGATGCCCAGTCAGCTGGGTGCCAGCCTTGTATCTTACCGACAGGGCATGCGAACCCCAAAAGCACAGCATTGGCATCAGGACCGGCTACAGTTGAATCACCTCCGGAGAATGTTTCGATCACACCGTCAACACAGTAAACTTTTGCGTGCCTCAGACCTTCGCTGCCACGACTTGGAGGTTGACACACAGGAGCAGCTTGCATTCCCGCAAGTGGCGGGACAGTGTCCTGCTTGCCGCTTACCGCCTGTCCGATGACCGCTGCACAAACTATCATGCTCCTGCTCTGCGTCGAAGGAGGAGAAACCCTTGCGCTGAATGTCTCCGTGCGCGGGCTTTTGGTTCCAAAGGAACCTGCGCAGTTGACGCGCAGTTGACGCAGCATGAATGTCATTCGGTTCACTGATGCCCAGCATTGAAAGTGGCCCCTCCGCGTTGATGCCCTGGCGTTGCTCAAATGTACACTTCGAAACTGGACGAGATGGTATGCCATACCTGACCCAAGTCACAAAGGAGTGGCAGAAAGAAGCGTCACACACAAGGGCGCGGCATTCCTGCCTGAAAATAGGGTATATACTGTGGAGAGAAAATTCTCCTGGTAAGAACAATGGGAACACACTGGGAATTCGTGTGATCATTGCCTTTTCGCGATGACGCAAGTCCTTGACAAAATGGGTACAGGCAGGGATTAAAAAATGCACATTCCTTCAATTTGTCGCTTAACACAGGTCCTGTACCTTGAGGCCCTTGCAAGGGCCCGCAGTTCATGCTGCAAACGTCCTCAAAGTTGACCTAATACAGACTAGGTGTCCGTGCATGAGAAACCGAGTTCCGCACAAATGGCGAAGCCGGAAATTTTAGCAGGCTTTGTGCTCATGTATTTTAATCATTCAGATCTGCCCATGGTAGGGTTCGTGGCCACAATTGCTGAAGACGCTGTGGCGATCACAATCGCATGCACCTGAACCGCAAATGCCCCTACACGTACTCAGCATCCATCCTGCTGATCAATTTCGAATCCACACAGACACACACATCAGTCAACGCATTGCCCAGTCAGTAATTGTGTAATGGTGCAGGCAAACTGCACACCAGGCTTGGTTTTTACGTTTACGTTTACGTTTTTACTTTTACGTTTTTACACGTAAAAACGTAAATTTGCAAAAGGGCCTATTTTTACGGCTATTTTTACGTTTTTACGGCTCCTGGCACACGTAGTCTACACGATGAAAGTTGCATACAATGATCAGTCCTCTGCCATCTCCATCACCTGGAGCACAATGTCCACCTCGCCTGTGGCAAGGGCGATAATGGCGTTTAGCAAAAACTCGTTTTCTGCCTCTTCCAAGGCGTCTGGCTGCCACTCTCCGGACTCTGTAAATCTATATGTACTGTCCTTATGTACACCAGGCAGCTTTTACGTTGTATTTACGTATTTTTACGCATTTTTACGCGTAAAAACGTAAAAAATATTTTTACGCGTAAAAACGTAAATACGATCAGTTTTTACGGCGTAAAAACCAAGCCTGCTGCACACCATTCGGCTCATAAAACGAGTGCGTTTTTCTCATCTGATCAACGTGCACCATGCATTCCAAATAGAAGCATCATTGAAGGCATCCCACTTGAAGGCATCCCCTTTGCGCATCTATCACGTCCACTTTGTTTCCCTGCAATAACATATTCAATGTTTCACGCCCATCGTATACCGTACAAGCATATAAAATCCTGCACAGACTTCTTGCCGCCCACTTATGCCCTGAATCCATATTCAGATCTGTGGCCACTTCAATCCCAGCAACAAAACCAAGCAAGCATTGTTTTGCGTTCCCTGAATATCAAGGCCAGAGACGTATAGTGCGCGCCACAGATGTTCTGAATTTCGCTTCAAACAGACCAGCTTGGCTGAGCCAAGTTGGCTCATTGCATCAAACCAAGTCTACTGCACCTCGCGCGATGTAGACGCGGCTTCTACTTGCGCTCTGCTGCAAGTGCTACTTGGGACGAACAGCCTTTGGATGTATTGTGCAAATACAGTGCCAAACGCATTATGCACAGGCGTACACAACATTTGAGATCCCCTGATCAGGGACTTCATGAAGCGTTCAGCGCTCGCCAATACTTCCACAATTGCCAATGCTCATCCTGGAGCACCCCATCATCCAGCCGTGACAATGGAACTCACTGGCTTGATCCTCGATGCCCCGCCTGGTCTTCGCGCGCCCAACATCTCAGGCGCTTCCGCAAAAGGCAAAGCCTTGGCTAGCCAAGGACCGCAGCCCTGCGGTCGCCCATCGGATGGCTTTGAACCTACGCGCTGCCCCCACTGAGGAGATGCCCAAACCGCAACTGACGATCGCCATGTTCATGTCCACTTCCCCAGATCATCCAACGAGAATTGTCGCAGATAGTATATTACCTGGTATGTATGGTATATGGTATATGACTATGGTACGTACCATGGTCTAAGACCCAGGATTATTGCTTGGATTTCGCCAGGAACATTTCTTCCGTAGCACTACGCAAGCACCATCGTGACTGGAATCAACGCCCAAGGTTGGCATGACCGGCTTCCCCTCCAGACTGATTAAAGCACAGTCTCACCAGCCGATCTCTTGCGCACAATCGCGCGACCAATACTACAGGGGCCAAGCGCCGAGGTGCTCTTCCTCACATGAATCTCGTGTCCTGGACACAAGTGTCGATGGGGCTTCTCTGATGTGTGCAATGCGCATGTAATCTGCCCTATCTGCATGATGCCACGGAATTGACACTCAGGTTTGATACATCAATCTGATGCATGTTGACGATCGACATTCAGTCGTCTAGGGAAAACCCGCAATGTTCAAAACTCAACGATCGTGCAGTGTTGGTGGGACCGCCCTATCGATTTGTGCCCCTTTCTCAGACAGGTTCCTGAGCTTAAGCTCGGGATCGAAAGTTTCGACATCAAGTCCTTTCGTTGCGGACCCCTAACGACAAAGGGGCAACAGTCTGTGATGGTTGCGTGAGCACGGCACCATCAACAAAGTGTGAGACACGCAAAACCTGTACCGCACAAACGAGTTTGATCACTCGATTCTCAGAGTCTGATTCACTAAAACTGTTTCAATACAAGAATTTGATGTCAGGTTCCTTCGCTGGAAGACAAGTTGCATGTAATCACATTTGCAGCGAGCCACAAGTGCGTAAACCGAAGGCAGTGAACCCAGCATGTCATTGCAAAGAATGTGCAACCAAGATCCAATGGGAGGGGCTGTACAGTTGCAAGAGGGAAAGGCTCGTGAAAGGCTCCAAAGACTCTCGACCATGACCCAGAACGACCTCCGTCGGCGCAACATGATGTAAACTTAACGTGAATACACGGCAGCTGCAGCCTGGCTAGAAAGGAGGTCAGCACGAGCCAGACCGCCTGTCTCTGTCCCAGGATAGTGCGCCGCCAATGTAGTGGCGCGGATGACGCCTGGCGCTCGCCCCCTCCGTGCCGACGAATTGTGCGCTATTTACGCCACCTTACGCCATCTTATGTGACGATGATGCGTCCAGAAATCGACCGCACACAGGCGCCGAACTGTGCGGTGCGGGCAGCTCTGTTGGGCTCCACAGGGCCGGACAGCGCTGCTTGCACGCCGCGCTCTTGGCGGTCCTCGGCAGCGGCGGCTATCACGCCACGGCGCGCCGCGAGCGCCTTTCCCACACCTCGCTGCAGAACTGTGGCCCACCTGCAATCCCCGCGAACCCCCGGTAAGACGGCGTTGCTTGCATTTGTGGTT